CCTCTCCACTGACTCCCTATCCTATACCTTTTCTGCTCCCCAGGGAGGGTGAGGCCTTCCATGGGGGATCTTCAAAGTCTGTCACATAATTTGGGGCAGAGCCTAGGTCTCCACCCCTGTGTGTAGGCTGAGAGAGTATCCCTCTATGTGGAAAGGGCTCCCAAAGTCCATTGGTACACTAGCGATAAATACTGATCCACTACTAGAGGCCCCATTAATTTCCCAGGCCTCCTAGCTGACATACATGTTCAGGGGGTCTTGAACAGTCCTATGCTGGTTTCCCAGCAATTAGCCTGGGACCCATGAGCTCCCCCTTGTTCAGATCAACTGTTTCTGTGGGTTTCTCCAGCCTGGTCTTGACCTCTTTGCTCATCACTCTTCCCTCTCTGCAACTGGATTCCAGGAGTTTGGCTCAGTGTTTAGCTGTGGTTGTCTGCTTTTGCTTCTATCAGCTACTGGATGAAGGCTCTAGGATGGCATATAAGGTACTCATCAATCTCATTATAGGGGAAAGGCATTTAGATAGCCTCTCCACTATGGCTTAGATTCTTAGTTGGTGTCATCCTTGTAGAACTCTGGATATTCTCCTAGCACCAGATTTCTCTTTAATCGCATAATGGCTCTTTCTACTATGGTATCTCTTATCTTGTTCTCTCTTATTCTTCCCTGATTCTATCTTCCTGCTCTCTCATGTCCTCCTCTCCCCTCCTCTTCTCCCCTTTTCTTTGTCCTAACTCCCTCTCCCCTCCCCCCCATGCTCCCATTTTGCTCAGGAGATCTTGGCCTTTTCCCTTCTCCCAGGGATCATGTGTATCTCTCTTAGGGTCCTCCTTGTTTCCTAGCTTCTCTGGCAGTGTAGATTCTAGGCTGGAATCCTTTGCTCTATGTCTAAAATCCATACATAAGTGAACACAGACCATGTTTGTCTTTTTTTTTTGTGAGTGGGTTACCTAACTCAGGATGGTTTCTTCTAATCCCATCCATTTGTCTGCAAATTTCAAGATTCCATTGTTTTTTTTTTCACTAGGCAGAACTCCATTGTGTAAATATACCACATTTTCTTTTTTTGTTGTTTTTATCATTTTTTATTTTAATTTTAAATAGCTTGTTTTACATGTCAATCCCAGTTCCCTCTCCCTCCCCTCTTCCTGCACTCCCCTTCCCCTGCTCCCTCCCACCCTATTGCCAAATCCTTCCACATAGGGGATATCTAGAGTCTGTCATTTTACTCTTGGTAGGGTCAAGGCACTCCCCTAAGAGTCCAGGCTGAGAGAGCATCTCTCTTTGTGCTATAGGCACATGAAGACAGTTTGTATACCAAAAATCAGGTATACATAGGTATGTAGGTTAATACCAGGGTTTTCAATTGGATTCCATTGGTTTACATGTCTATTTTTATGCCAATTCCAAACTGTTTTCAGGACTATAGCTCCATAATAGAGCTTGAAGTCAGTTCTGGTGATGCCTCCAGAAGTTCCTTTATTGTACAGGGTTGTTTTAGCTATCCTGGGTCTTTTGTTTTTTCATATAAAGTTGAGCATTGTCCTTTGAAGTTATGTGAAGAATTGTGTCAGTATATTTTGATGGGGATTTTACTAAATTTGTAGATTGCTTTTGGTAAGATTGTCATTTTTACTATGCTGATCCTACCTATCCAAGAGCATGGGAGATCTTTCTAAAAATCACACAGTACAACCAGTCCCTGAGATGGTTTTGAATGCGAGTTATTTGCCACTCTCTTCAGTCTCAGCTGTCCAGCAGTACACGATTTTCTATGTCCATGTAGTAAAGGTCTGATCCACCTTTACTAGAGATTCAACTGCCTTTCAAGATTCAAACCTTTTCGAAGAAGGGTTCTTTTCTGTTCTCTCCCAGTGATCTTTTGAATCTCATGAACTTTGTATGAGATAGACATTTAAGGATTACAGGAAGACCTAGAACATCTAGAGATGTGACTGGGGACATTAATTAAAGTTATACCACATTGCATCTAAAATGTCTTCCAGTAGACAGAATCCCCAATAGGTTTTGGCTAGAAGGAACTACATATTCCTCCATGTATGAAAGAGAAGCGGCTGGAGAAACAAAGGGGCAAGAGGTAATAAGAAGGGAGACTGAAAGGTGGGGGCTAAAACAGGAATCCTGTGTGTCTGTCACACCCAACTCAGAAGCAGGGAGACACTGAACCTACAGATATAGTCTATCAAAGGAAGCCAAAAATGCAGAATGAGAAAATTCAATATAAGAAGACATACTTCTTATAAAGCCTGGCTGTGAACCTAACAAGGAAGTAACCCTGAAGCCAATTAGAAGAAATTCCTTAGATTACACAATCATGTCCCCAGGAAAGATGAGATACATCACTGTGCCAAGAGGATGGGACTCCCGTATGACTGCACAAGGGACAGACACATCATATAGATACTTGGAGAGCTGATCCCTCATGTCTTTATTCCGAGGAATACGGGCAGTATTTTAAGGAAAACTCACAAACTCAGTTTCTGCATATTGGAGGATGAAATAAGGATGCCTCTAAGGCCTCAAAGATCAGCCAGAGTGTAGACACTTTTTCATCATTAAGTCAAAGGATCCAAGATAGATATCAGCATATAAACTCTCTTGACTCAGTCACCCAGCATGCCAGTTAAAGTTAAGGAGCATAAACTGTTAAAAGCTGAAGATACACAGGAGGCCTTTGCTTTTCAGGCATTGCTAGTGTTGCAATGAGGCCATACTAGAGAAGCCTGCTAGCTATTTAGCATTCTAACTTGAGGATGCTCCTTAAAGAGGATCAAAAGTTGTCTAGAAGGCACTACTACAAAGTCCTAATGGGAAATTATCTGTTTATTCTACATCACTAGGAGAACTTTGGAAGACTATTATTTGTAAATATATTTGAGTGCACAGGAGGAAGTGGTCTTACACCAGAAAGACTTGGTTTACCATATACTGAAACACCAAACTGATCACTACCTTTTTGGGGCACTGTGATGGTTAATCACAAAAGTCAAGATGATAAGGGCCAGATCTTGGGCCATGGCAGTAGGGCATTATCTTCACAGTGAGGAAGTAAACTATCCCACTGTCGGTGGTATTGTTCCTAGGGCTGAGATCCACAACGATATAAGGAGAAGGTGAGCAAAGCATAAGCCCTCCTTTGCTTTATTCTTGTTGCACTGGACCCTGGATCTATGGGCTCTCAGCAAATATGCAAACAAGGCTCATGACAGCATGGCAAAGTGGACACTCCTCCATTGGCATGTTTTGGTCACAGTATTTCAGCACACAAACTGGGAAAGTACCATAGGCATAAATTCCATGAAGAGCTCCTAAGCACAATTAGATATTTGGTAGTGATAAGTGCTGAAAAACATTAAGTGTTAAAAGTCTGCCTTCAAATGACAGAGCCAGAAGCAAAGAGTACTTAATCCTGACAATACAACTAGACTACCATGATGGAAGAGGAAAAGCAATGCTATCTGTGCCACCTCCTTGTCCCTTCTGTTCTTTCCCACAAGCTCAGGGTGTGGCACACTACTCCAGGGAGCCACTCCACTTGGGGCAGTCCAGAAATGCTGTTAACTGTTTCAAATTTTGTTCTAACTCTTGATGATTTTGAAAATCACCATGTCAATCTTGAGACTGTTTAAATTCAATTCACCTACATTAATCGTTTCTGGGATAAAGTAATAGAGAGGTGGTTCACCTACTCCTGCCTGCATCGGGTGAGGTGACAATGACAGAGAGCAGATTGAGTTCACCTCTTCTATGTTTACTGTTAATGACTGCAACACTTAACATAAAATTCCTTTTTAATTCTTTGGCTGAATTCAACTGAGGAACTATGCAAATTAACATTATCTACATTGGAAACTAATGCTAAGTTCAACATTTTCACCCCTTAGAATGCAATAATGATTCACAACTATCATATAACAACAACTGAAATTATTGCATTTCAACAGTACCTTCCATTTCCCTTTGTGTTCCTTCTCTGAAAGTGCCAGTTTGGACTTGAGGTCTTCTAGTGTCCCGAGGAACAACAGGGCGTTTCCGACGGGTTATTCTCCTCATTTTGGACACTGGGAGTACATTAATGGCAGAGTCAGAAATGTCAGTTTCATGGCAGACAATAGAGGAAATCAGTCTGATTTTCTACATCCATCTCATGAATATTCTGCAGGCATTGTCATCAGAGTCACAGTGGTGATTAGGGAGATCATTGAGTGCACTGCATCCTCCAGCATGCAATACATTCATGATGTAGGGAAGTTATAAATCCATGTCAGTGTGACAGTGTTGTGTTTCCCTGATGAATATATGTACCTAATGAGTACTCCCATTCAAATCTTAGAGAATACCCTTTCCTGAGAGGAAAAACTTCTGGAGCATAGAGTGTGCCTGCCTTTAAAGATGTATTCTCATTGAGTATAGACAGCACTCCTTTTATAACAGCACTCTATAGGCAGGAGCAGGTGAAGTTTTGTGAGTTCCTGGTCAGTATGGTATATGTGTAGGTAGTTCTAGTATAGGTATGGACACAGTGAGTACCTGCCTCAAAAACTAATCAAAAGAAAACACTGTATTCTCAAAGAATGAGATGGTATAGATCAAGCTCCAGTTGGTGACTGCAGTTTTCAGGGCACACTGCCCCTAAATTGTGTCCCTCTTTGTATCCATGCTGATGTTGTATAATCTGTTATGCTTTTCTTCAGAACATACTGGAATGCATTATGGTTAATAGAAACCAATTTTGGGACTATGCACCCCACTCTCCCATGTTGTTTAATTTTCAGTATTAGTCACCTGAAAAGCAGGATGTTATCTTTTGCCTTTCAAAGAATAGACTGTTTCATGCTGAATGACACTACCTAGAACTTCTTAACCACTACAGCAGTCATTGTGGCATTTGGGATTTCTATTCATTTGCCTTATTGCAGGCAGATGCAAGAAGGCAGAACTCTTTGATAGGATTATTGTGCCCTTGGTAGAATAAGTAGTTTCTCTTGAGATTCATAGTTAAGGTGCCTTATATCTATCTCTGACTTTTGGTGTATTCATTTATGGATGAACACGCAAACATATGACTGACTCTATATAACTGAGATGAAGTTTGAATACATTTTTGTAGGTAACTTGTATTCTGATTTTCAATTTGCATATCTGTCACTGAAAATTTGAATGGGTAAATGGTGTGATATTTTTTGGAGGGGGGAGACTGAGACAAGAATTGGAGCACAAAACCTCAAAATTTCAAAGGATTGCTGTTGAATACAAGGAACATATACATATTTATGATTTCTTACTTAATATGTCCTTTCCTAAAAAACACTAAAAAATTCTAAAACCAAAAGTCTCCTGTCATTAGGTATATTTGATCACAGTGGTGCATCACAGAAAATACAAATGGTGTTCATACAATTCCTATTTAAAATGTGTCTTAGGAAAGTGATCCAACAATACATACCAGTTCTGCGTTTTTTAGATAACACCTGCAATCAATAGGAAAGAAAATATTTAATGCCATCATCATGCTGAGCTATGTCTACAAAGCCATTTTGTTTTTCTACTGACAGTATCATTCCAGCCAGGACAGAGAAAAACAGTAAAGAGGAGACTATATTAAAGGGTACGTGATTTGATTATGTCACAGAAGATGTGGGACTCTACTTTGAGACAAAAAATAATAACTTTCATACTTTACTGAGTCAAAGGCATTTTCATGTGTTGGAAACTTACTGTGTCCAGCTTGAGGGTGTTCAGTATTCCGCTTGTCAGATCTTTAAACCATGATGAAAGTGTGCCCATTAGAGGCACCCACCTTGATGGAATCACTCATAAAGCAGGACACAAATTGTGCCACATTGTGATGTATGCTGTCTTGAATCAAGACCAAGTTGCTACAGTTACATTCCCTCCTCCAACTAAATAAACTCTCTAATGCCCATGATGCCTCAGACCAGTTTCATGATTCCAATGTGATACCCACTGAAACATGAGGGGAACAATGATGTAACCCTTTCTGCCTTAAAGAAAGGAAAACAGTCTTACCTTCACCATAGTCACTGGTGGCCTTCGCTGGTACCTTGGTGAAGTTGCCCTGTAGGCAGGTGCAGGAAATACTAGGGACATAGAAAGTGACTCTCAATTCCAAGGAATTATTATTATTTATAGGGGATTGTTGCTTGATATGGGTAAAAGCTTATGGTCTCAGTACATTTTACTACACCTAATGAACAATATGGTTGGGTTGTTGCTAGACTTCCAAGAAGAGAAATTAAGGCCGAGAGATGATCTGGAAAGAAATGAACACAAACAGATACTTTTTTCTTTCTAAGGAATGGGAATTTTTCTTTCTAAGAATGTGACATATGGTGTAAAGATGAAATAAATCTTTCCCAAACTTACTTCTTACAGTTATTATTTGGGAGGTCCAACAGCTGGCTATGGATCCATCCAATTTAAACACTCTATGCCTGATTCTTTCAGACCACCATGCATTTTCCAGGTTCAATTTCTTGTCCTCAGTCTTATACCAAGTGCTTCTATTGCTGAGCCATCTCATTGGCCCCATAAAACAAATCTCATGATAAAAATCACACACTACAACCAGTCCCTGGGATGATTGTGAGTGCAGAGTAATTGCCACCCTCTTCAGGCTCAGACGATTACCTATGTCCATGTAGTAGAGGTCTGATCCACCTTTACTAGAGATTCAACTGCCTTTCAAGATTCAAACCTTTTCTGAGAAGGGTTCTTTTCTGTTCTCTCCCAGTGATCTTTTCAATCTCATGGATGATATGAGAGTGAGCCATCTAGGGATTGATGAAATATCTAGGACACCCAGGACTAAGGCTGAAGAACATGTCTGGTAGTTAGTCCACATTGCCTGGACAATGTCTTCCAGTACACAGAACCACCAATAAGGGAACTGGCAGACTGGAACACATAGGCCTCCATGGCATGCCAGACCAAGATACATGGTTATCATGAAAGAGAAGTAGCTGAGACGGATAGGGGCCACAGGTAATAGGAAGGGAGACTGAAAGGTGGGAGACAAAAGTGGAATCCTGATTCAGTCACACACAGCTCAGAATCAGGAAGAAACTGTTAATTCAATCTACAGATATACTCTATGAAAAGGAGCCCAAAGCTACCACAGAATGAGAGAATCCATAGAAGCATATATACTTCTGAGGAGCCTAGATTGTGAGCCTACTGAAGACATGGCAGTGAAGACACTGAGAGGACAGAGACTACTTAGATCAAATTTCATGTCCCCAGGAAAGGTGAGAAATGTGAGACCAGGCCAAGAGGGTGGGACTCAAGTATCGATAGCACAAGTGGCAGACACACCCTATGGTTGCCTACACAGCTAATCCCCTCATGTCTATATCCTTTAATCTGAGGAATATGGGAAGTATATTATGGAATTCACAAACTCACTCTCTGTATCTTGGAGGATACCTCTAAAAGCATCAAGGATATGTCTGAGTAGAGATCCTCCCCCTCCCCATCATCCATTAATTCAAAGGGTCAGAGAAAGATTTCAGCCTGCCTTGACTCAGTCACCCAGCATGCCAGTTAAAGTTAAGGAGCATAGACTGCTAAAAGCTGAAGACACACATGAGGCCTTTACTTTTAAGGACATTGATAGTTTGCAATGGGGTCACACTAGAGTAACCTATTATTTATTTATCAGTCTGTGAATGTCCTTTGCCGAGATTAAATCTGTCTAAAAGATTAACAGAGATCATGCCTTTAATACCAACAATGGCATGATATAAAAGATAGGAGCAGAGTCTTCAGGAGACTCAGTCTCAGATTCCCCAGACATGTTGAGGAGAGCACAGGAGTCTGGGATTTCACTCTGAGCTTTTATGGAGTCAGGATAGTCTTTCAGTCTAAGACACAGATAACAGGTAGTGGGTGACTGCTTTGCTTTTCTGAACTTAAGCTTGAAGCTTGAACTCCAATATCTGTCGAAGGGTCTTTCATTAATTACGCTACAGAATTATACTGTGGAATTGCTCTGTGGTATCCCTTAAATAGCATAAGAGTCAGCTACATATGAGTTAATCCAGGTAGCATGAGATTTGTATTGGTATCTCACATACCCAAGAGAAGAGAATTATTTATTTTTACTCCTTACATTCACTGTTTATGTAAGAAGTTATAGGAGGATCCTAGCTTAACAATATAAGATGGCTAATTTCAATGTTTTCAAACTGTCTGGGGCCTGTTCTTAGTGATTTATCTGAACAGAGGACCACAATGAGAGGTAAACAAGGCTTGCATATTTCCTAGAAAAGTTCAGATTCAAAGTCACTCAAAGCCAAGCTGTCACTCGATGGTTAGGATGAAAAGAAACTTCCCTCCAACGTGCCAAACCTGGATATGTTCTCATCATACACTGACAAGAACAGCAGCCTGATGCTTTGGTAATGGAATAAAAAGTGTGTATACACATCACTTTCCAGGTGAATCGTCATTGTGTATCTGTACAGCCTTGATTAATTCTACCTAAGACAGGGTAATGACTACAAGAGTACTGAGAGTGTACCATACATGTCCATGCCTTCCTCACCAAACTCCTACCTTCTCTACACTGTTATGTTTTTGTTTTTCAGAAGAGATCTCCATTCTAGTCTAGCCTGCAATTTACTCCACAGCAAAGAATGACTTTGAACTCATGCTTCTCCTTCTTCCACTTCTTAATGACAAAGATTGATATGATATAGCCATTCTTGGTACATTTTAAACAGAACTAAGAAACTCTGGGTCCTGGACATGCTAAGCATGCACTGAGGCAACTGGACCTAAACCTCCAGTCCATATTAGCATACTTGCTTCCTTAAAATACAATAGGCCAAAGTACTGAAAGTGCAGTTGCACTCCATATATAATGCTTTGGAAAGGTTGTTAACGAGTCTGATCATGCTGAAAATATGGGGACAAAATACCACTGAGAAGAAAACTACTGAAGCATAGAGTTTACCACATTTTGAAAGGTATAGTCCCACTGGGTGTGGTAGGCAACTCCTGTTATAACAGTAGTCTGTAGGCAGAGGCAGGTGGAATTGTGTGAGTTCCAGGTCAGAAAGGGATATACAAGAGATAGTCCTGGGAGAGACACGGATACACAGTGAGACCCTGTCTCAAACAAGTAAGCCAGCAAGCAAATGAACAAACAAAAAACACCATAGATAACCCAAAACTAAAACCCAGTATTGTCCAGAAAGTCAGACAGCACAGATCAACATCCAGGTGGTGACTGAAACACGGTGGCCAAATTGTGTTGCTTTTGGTGCCCATACCAATGTTGTTAAATGCCTTAAAGCTTTTCAGGTTTTACTGGAAGGAACCAAACAAGTCTAGCTCAAATCCAGTTCACAACCATCGAATGTCAATGGAGTGGTTAGCACACAATCTCTGCCCTGTACCACACTGTGGGCTGTTTTCTTTCCTACTTGCTAACGTCTGCAGGCAGGTGAATTGCACTGTCCCAGCCTTCTGACCACTGTGGTAGGGGAGGCAGTCTTGGGGCATTCCTGTCGCTTTGATTTATTTCAGCTAGTTGTTGGAAATCTGGATACCCTTTCGTGGAGATTATTGTGCCCGCGATGGTGTTAAATGCAGTGGCCGTACTGCATGTGTAAAGACTCTCATCCCATATTCTGAGCCTTGGTTTATTCACTTGTTTAGGAAAACACAAATCAAACTACTACATATGGCTGTGGTGAGCTTTATACACACTATTATAGGTAAATTGTGAATACTAATTTTTTTACTTAAATTAAAAAAGCCTCCCGGAACAAGGACGGAGTCTGAGCAGGGTCCCCCATAGCTGACAAAGTGGCTGAAATCCTGGATTTTTTCTCAGCAGTTTCCCTGGGAATTGGGCTAGCAACATAGATACCTGTCTAGATAAATTAAGACACAGTCTGGCCCACAAAATCTCAAACTAAGAAGGTCAACACAGCATGCAGCAACTTTAGTCAGATGACTATGATTTCTTACTTGAGGATCACTTTTTTTTAAATCAAACTCCCAACTGTAAATTGATGGATGTGTTTTTTCTTACTCTGGTGCACTAGACAAAGACAAACAGTAGTCACACAATTCACATCTAAAACATGTCTTCAGTGACACCAGAATACATACCAGGTTGGTGTTGTGTAGGCTCCCACTGCAATACACAGGAAAGAAAACACTGTGAGGCTTGAATTATGGTGGGTTCTGTTTGTACAACTTTTTGGCTCACCTGTTTTGCAGGCATATTACACAGAGGACTGTCAAGCCCCGGGTGTAAGATTCTAAATTACTATGTCACCTGATACTGACTCAGAATGGCTCAGCATGTCTGATTTGTGACAAAAACCAAAAACAAACAAACTAATAACTACTAGTATGTCTCCCACTTTTGCTGACTCGAGGCCATATCTGGCAACCCTGTGTGTTTGGAATCCACTGACAGTTCAGCTAACCTACATTCCACACGACAGAATAATTCACATCTGTTTACTCTGATAGTAATCCCTCTTATGGAGCACTCCAATAATGTGCACACATCCCCATGTCTTAACGTTCTCGGCTCCCAGACATCCCCACACTGTCTTCTACCACATATGTCTTTAGGGAACACACCCAAATTCAACCTAAGCCAGATGCTCTGGACGTCATACAAGGAGGGGTTCCCCTTACATTAACATTGAAACCCACAAGGAAGATAAGCACATCAACTTCTGAGTGAAATTTGCATGCTTTTATCTAAAGCAGAACATTATTTTCCCAAAGACACACCCCATTCATACTTGCTCCTGACATAAGCAAGTGTGAATGTTCTGTCCAGTCACTAATCTGGTATGATTCTGTTTTCCCTTCTTCCTACATATACTATTTCATGCTCATGGTAACCTCATCAAATTTATTTTTCAGTGTGATAGCCACTAAAACATAGGGAATAATTATTAAACTAACTTTTCTCTCTTACATAAAGCAAAGAATCCTTTTACCTCCACCAAGGTGTCTTGACACTCTTGTTCAGCATTTGGCAAACATGGAGCAATTTCAGGTTCTATAGGAACAACTAGAGGAACAGGAAATAACTGTCAGCTCATGGTACATTTATTCATCCAAGCCATCTCTACTTGACTTGGATAAAAGTGTCTGTAACCAGCACATGTCATTAGTTAGGTGACTACTGGACTGTCTTCCTGATGGCAAATGTAGGCAAAGATTTTAAAAATATAAAAACAGAGTCATTTTTTTCTGCTTTCTAGAGAATGGGAATCCAAAGCAATGTGAGAATCACTTTCAATATGTAACGACTAAGAGCATGTTTGAGAAAAGTTTGTACATTTATTCCGTTGGGAGGGAGCACATCAGAGGACAATGTTTGGTGTCTAGATCTCTCCTTTCATTATGTGGGTTCTGGAGTTAGAATCATAACACCAGGTCTGATGATAAGCACTAATAACTACTGAACCATCTCCCTCTGCCAACTAAATTAATCTCACAATTAAACCACACATCACCATCAACTTCTGAGATCATTTTGAGCCCAAGAAGAACTGACAATCATTCACCATATCTCACAAGCATATTTCAACCTCACCAACTGATAATTTTGCTTCTGCCTTCATCATAAAGAACATACAGTTTTAGCTTTGGTATCAAACATTTTACTGGGGAAGTGAGTTCAGTATAAGCCATGTATATGATGTAACTGTATTTATATATTCGCCCTTTGACATAGGACAAGAATTTATTAAAGAGTGGAAAACAGCAATAATCATAAGCATGCTGTGTCTTGTTTCTCCTTCTAGTCTTTATTATTCTGTAAAGTTTTGTATTCATGTGTTTTGTGAGATCCAATTTAAAACCAGCAGTGACAAGGGAAAAAGAGTTTCCTGATCCCTTTGACCACTCAAGTCCTTTAACATAGCTCTACATGAGAGTTGCTTCAGGGGTGATGGATACTCTTAAAACTGGGTAGATAGCATAGACACCTCTGTGTCACTCTTTCTGGGTGTGTAGATCAAATGTCTCTGCACTTCTAAGAGACACATTTGTATTGCTGTTAGAGAAAGACCACATTCGTATTGGCATTAGATACCAATTAAAGATCTCTTTAGGCCAGGTGTGAAGGTGAGTGTCCCAAATCTAAGAATCTGTGAGACTGGAACTTCCTTAGCATGATTCGTTTGAAATGTGGCACTGATGTAGCAATACCTGTCCTGGGCTAAGTGACCATGCATGGACTCTATGTCATAAAGTATGTAATGCTTAGGATTCTATAGACTTGCAGATATCCTGACATGTACACAACGATAGGACTTCTTGTTTGGTGAGTAAGGCAACATTTTAGAGACTCAGGATAGTGGGCAATATGTCTGGGCTCACATTGAGGCTTTTCCATCTAAGACCACATTCACCATTGTGTGTGTGTGTGTGTGTGTGTGTGTGTGTGTGTGTGTGTGTGTGTGTGTGTGTGTGTGTGTGTGTGTTTTATTCCACCCTGGAAATTCAAATAGTCAATAAACATGTATCTCGGCTGTTGTTAAGTGATTCAATGAAAGTAATCTAAGCACTGTCAACACTCAGGAAGGTTAGTCATTTTAAACTGTCCTGCTATTTAAAGCCCCAAATTTTAAATGCCTAGGTCACACTTCTTCTAATAATATGATTACTTTTCCTAAGAGCCTTCATTTCAAATTTGACAACCTGCATTAAAAAGAAGTAAAGATTTTAAAATAATGCCTATGTTGTCCTAAGTATACAATCCATTTCCATGCCTGACAAAAAAGACAACCATTGTCTTCCAGACTATTCTAGCTGCTTTACCATGGACAGTGAACAATAAAATGAACCCTAGATTCTTTGACAGATTAAAATTTCTAGTATTATAAGACCATTGAAAACCTAAAATCTTTTACATCAGCTCTCCATAAAATGAGAGCATCTCTACATTTAGGCTTTGATCAATTCATGAAGACAGCTACAGCTCAGCTTTCTGAAAGAGCTCTGAAAGCAGGTCAGGATAACTAAATCACATAACATATGAAACCATTAATAAGAATTAACATGTCTTTTCAGAGCTGTGGTTCTATATACACAGAAACACAATTGCTCTTGCAAACAATTCTTTTCGTTTACCATATACACACGCTTTATATTCACTGATGACTCGAAATTGATAACAACTCTCTACTTAGTTCATCAGTCTCTATAATTCACCTAAGTCTCTACTTCATGCGCTAAAATAGCGGTCACTCATTCAGAACTAACAATCTTGTTACAGTGTGAAATTTATCATAATATTTCTCCTGCTGTGAGTCACTCTGTGTTTCTGAGATGAATATTTTCAATACAGAGAACCAAGTACTTGCATATATATTTATGAAAGAATATTGCAGTATTTATATGTAGGTATATCTACTAAGGACAAGCTTGAGGAAGGGAATATGAAATTGTATTATATATATAATACACACACGTATATACATTAAATTATAAAGTCAAATTTTTTCATAGAGAATATAATACACACATTATATAATAAGACATAGTCCTAAAATACAGAAGTTATTAAAGAAGATATTTTGACAAATATTTTCTAGTCTAATGGAAGGAATACTCAATAACTAGTAATGACATACCTCGACAGTTACAACAGTTCCCCATTTAGTCTAATTCCAACACAATTATCCCTCCACACTTTATAACCATGTACATATGAGGAAACTCTCAAAGTGTACTGGCATTCAGATCTGAGGCATGCTTCTATCTAACTACATGGCAGCAGGGTGTCATGGAAATCGTATAGTGAGCACACAATACATTCTATGATATCCAACAGCTGCTATCTAGTCAAATGTGCTCATATACCCCACGACTACAGGGTGGGTTTTTATAAATGCCAGTGTACTTTACTAAGAACGATCAACTCCAAAGCAAATACTTCCCCCGCCCCACACAAAACTTGCCCTCAAGAAAATGGACATAAACAACAGAATTGCTCTGTAGTATCTGTTAAATGGCAGAAGAGTCACCTACATATGAGTGAATCCAGGGAGCATGAGGTTTGGTTATCTCACATAACCAAGAATGGAGAAAGTATTTATTTTCACTCCTTACATTCACTGTTCATTTAAGAAGTCATAGGAAGGGCCAAGCTTAAAATAAATAGGAGGTCTTCCTACAGTGTTTTATGCACCAACCCTGCCTGATGCCCCTCAGTGAGTGGTTCTCTGATCAGAGGACCAAAATGAGAGATAAACAAGGCTTGAATATTTTCTAGAAAAGTTCAGATTCAAAGTCACTCAAAGCCAAGTTGTCACTCGATGGTTAGGATGAAAAGAAACTTCCCTCCAACGTGCCAAACCTGGATATGTTCTCATCATACACTGACAAGAACAGCAGCCAGATGCATTGGTAATGGAATAAAAAGTGTGTGTACATATAACTTTCCAGGTGAATCGTCATTGTGTATCTGTACAGCCTTGATTAATTCTACCTAAGACAGGGTAATGACTACAAGAGTACTGAGAGTGTACCATATATGTCCATGCCTTCCTAACCAAACTCCTACCTTCTCTACACTGTTATGTTTTTGTTTTTCAGAAAAGATCTCCATTCTAGTCTAGCCTGAAATCTACTCCACAAGAAAGAATGACTTTCAACTCATGCTTCTCCTTCTTCCACTTCTCAATGACAAGGATTAATAGGACTTAACCCTCCTGGATGCATTTTAAACAGAACTAAGAAACTCTGGGTCCTGGACATGCTAAGCATGCACTGAGGCACCTGGACCTAAACCTCCAGTCCATATCAGCATACTTGCTTCCCTTAAAATACAATAGGCCAAAGTACTGAAAGTGCAGTTGCATTCTATATATAATGCTTTCAGAATGATGTTACCGAGTCTTATGTGGTTCACAGCTGAACATATGTATCTGAGTGATCATGCTGAAAATATGGGGACCAAATACCACTGAGAAGAAAACTACTGAATCACAGAGGGTACCACATTTTGAAAGGTATAGTCCCACTGGGTGTGGTAGGCAACTCCTGTTATAACAGTAATCTGTAGGCAGAGGCAGGTAGGAATTGTGTGAGTTCCAGGTCAGAAAGGTATATAGAAGAGATAGTCCTGGGAGAGACACGGATACACAGTGAGACCCTGTCTCAAACAAGTAAGCCAGCAAGCAAATGAACAAACAAAAAACACCATAGATAACCCAAAACTAAAACCCAGTATTGTCCAGAAAGTCAGACAGCACAGATCAACATCCAGGTGGTGACTGGAGTTCTTAGTGAACACGGTGCCCAAATTGTGTTGCTTTTGGTGCCCATACCAATGTTGTTAAATGCCTTAAAGCTTTTCAGGTTTTACTGGAAGGAACCAACCAAGTCTAGCTCAAATCCAGTTCACAACCATCGAATGTCAATGGAGTGGTTAGCACACAGTCTCTGCCCTGCACCACATTGTGGGCTGTTTTCTTTCCTACTTGCTAACGTCTGCAGGCAGGTGAATTGCACTGTCCCAGCCTTCTGACTACTGTGGTAGGGGAGGCAGTCTTGGGGCATTCCTGTCGCTTTGATTTATTTCAGCTAGTTGTTGGAAATCTGGATACTCTTCCGTGGAGATTATTGTGCCCGCGATGGTGTTAAATGCAGTGGCCGTACTGCATGTGTAAAGACTCTCATCCCATATTCTGAGCCTTGGTTTATTCACTTGTTTAGGAAAACACAAATCAAACGACTACATATGGCTGTGGTGAGCTTTATACACACTATTATAGGTAAAATGTGAATACCAATTTTTTTCTTAAGTTAAAAAAGTCTCCCAGAACAAGGACGGAGTCTGGGCAGGGTCCCCCATAGCTGACAAAGTGGCTGAAATCCTGGTTTTTTTTCTCAGCAGTTTCCCTGGGAATTGGGCTAGCAACATAGATACCTGTCTAGATAAATTAAGTTAAACACAGTCTGGCCCACAAAATCTCAAACTAAGAAGGTCAACACAGCATGCAGCAACTTTAGTCAGATGACTATGATTTCTTACTTGAGGATCACTTTTTTTTAAATCAAACTCCCAACTGTAAATTGATGGATGTGTTTTTTCTTACTCTGGTGCACTAGACAAAGACAAACAGTAGTCACACAATTCACATCTAAAACATGTCTTCAGTGACGCCAGAATACATACCAGGTTGCTGTTGTGGAGGCTCCCCTGCAATACACAGGAAAGAAAACACTGTGAGGCTTGAATTATGGTGGGTTCTGTTTGTACAACTTTTTGGCTCACCTGTTTCCCAGGCATATTACAGAAAGGACTGCCATGCCCTTGGGTGGAGGTTCTGGATTACTATGTCACCTGATACTGACTCAGAATGGCTCAGCATGTCTGATTTGTGACAAAAACCAAAAACAAACTAATAACTACTAGTATGTTTCCCACTTTTGCTGACTCGAGGCCATATCTGGCAACCCTGTGTGTTTGGACTCCACTGACGGTTCAGCTAAGCTACATTACACACGACAGAGTAATTCACATCTGTTTACTCTGATAGTAATCTCTCTTATGGAGCACTCCAATAATGTGCACACATCCTTATGTCTTAAAGTTCTCGGCACCCAGACATCCCCACACTGTCTTCTACCACATATGTCATTAGGGAACACACCCAAATTCAACCTAAGCCAGAGGCTCTGGAAGTCATACAAGGAGGGGTTCCCCTTACATTAACATTGAAACCCACAAGGAAGATAAGCACATGAACTGCTGAGTGAAATTTGCATGCTTTTGTCTAAAGCAGAACATTATTCTACCAAAGACACACCCCATTCATACTTGCTTCTTGACATAAGCACGTGTGAATGTTCTGTCCAGTCACTAATCTGGTATGATTCTGTTTTCCCTTCTTCCTACATATAGTATTTCATGCTCATGGTAACCTCATCAAATTTATTTTTCAGTGTGATAGCCACTAAAACATAGGGAATAATCATTAAACTAACTTTTCTCTCTTACATAAAGCAAAGAATCCTTTTACCTCCACCAAGGTGTCTTGACACTCTTGTTCAGCATTTGGCAAACATGGAGCAATTTCAGGTTCTATAGGAACAACTAGAGGAACAGGAAATAACTGTCAGCTCATGGTACATTTATTCATCCAAGCCATCTCTACTTGACTTGAATAAAAGTGTCTGTAACCAGCACATGTCATTAGTTAGGTGACTACTGGACTGTCTTCCTGATGGCAAATGTAGGCAAAGATTTTAAAAACATAAAAACAGAGTCATTTTTCCCTGCTTTCTAGAGAATGAGATCCAAAGCAATGTGAGAATCACTTTCAATATGTAACTACTGAGCACATGTTTGAGAAACGTTTGTACATTTTTTCCGTTGGGAGGGAGCACATCAGAGGACAATGTTTGGTGTCTAGTTCTCTCCTTTCAGTATGTGGGTTCTGGAGTTAGAATCAGAACACCAGGTCTGGTGATAAGCACTAATAACTACTGAACCATCTCCCTCTGCCAAGTAAAATTAATCTCACAATTAAACCACACATCACCATCAACTTCTGAGATCATTTTGAACCCTAGAAGAAGAGACAATCATTCACCATATCTCACAAGCATATTTCAACCTCCACCAACTGATACATTCTGCCTTCATCATAAAGAACATACAGTTTTAGCTTTGGTATCAAACATTTTACTGGGGAAGTGAGTTTAGTGTAAGGCATATATATGATGTAACTGTATTTATCTATTCGCACTTTGACATAGAACAAGAATTTATTAAAGAGTGGAAAACAGTAATAAGCATGCTGTGTCTTGTTTCTCCTTCTAGTCTTTATTATTCTGTAAAGTTTTGTATTCATGTGTTTTGTGGGATCCAATTTAAAACCAGCAGTGACAAGGGAAAAGGAGTTTCCGGATCCCTTTGACCACTCAAGTCTTTTAACGTAGCTCTACATGAGAGTTGCTTCAGTGGTGATGGATACGCTTAACCTGGGTAGATAGCATAGATACCTCTGTGTCATTCTTTCTGGGTGTGTAGGTCTCTGCACTTCTAAGAGACACATTTGTATTGCTGTTAGAGAAAGACCACATTCGTATTGGCATTAGATACCAATTAAAGATCTCTTTAGGCCAGGTGTGAAGGTGAGTGTCCCAAATCTAAGAATCTGTGAGACTGGAACTTCCTTAGCATGATTCGTTTGAAATGTGGCACTGATGTAGCAATACCTGTCCTGGGCTAAGTGACCATGCATGGACTCTATGTCATAAAGTATGTAATGCTTAGGACTTCTATAGACTTGCAGATATCCTGACATGTACACAACGATAGGACTTCTTGTTTGGTGAGTAAGGTCAACATTTTAGAGACTCAGGATAGTGGGCAATATGTCTGGGCTCACATCGAGGCTTTTCAATCTAAGAGCACATTCACCATTGTCTGTGTGTGTGTGTGTGTGTGTGTGTGTGTGTGTGTGTGTTTTATTCCACCCTGGAAATTCACATAGTCAATAAACAAAAACATGTATCTGGGTTGTTGTTAAGTGATTCAATGAAAGTAATCTAAGCACTGTCAACACTCAGAAAGGCTAGTAATTTTAAACTGTCCTGCTATCTAAAGCCCCAAATTTTAAATGCCTAGGTCACTCTTCTTCTAATGATATATGATTGCTTTTCCCAAGAGCCTACATTTCAAACTTGACAACCTCCATTAAAAAGAAGTAAAGATTTTAAAATGATGCCTATGTTGTCCTATGTATACAATCCATGTCCATGCCTGAAAAAAAGACAAACATTGTTTTCCAGACTATTCTAGCTGCTTTACCATGGACAGTGAACAATGAAATGAACCCTAGATTCTTTGACAGATTAAGACTTCTAGTATTATAAGACCTTTGAACACCTAAAATCTTTTATAGCAGCTCTCCATAAAATGAGAGCATCTCTACACTTAGGTTTTGATCAATTCATGAAGACAGCTATAGCTCAGATTTGTGAAAGAGCTCTGAAAGCAGGTCAGGATAACTAAATCACATAACATATGAAAACAGAAATAAGAGTTAACATGTCTTTTCAGAGCTGTGGTTCTATATACACAGAAACACAATTGCTCTTGCAAACAATTCTTTTCATTCACCATATACACACCCTTTATATTCACTGATGACTCGAAATTGATAACAACTCTCTACTTAGTTCATCAGTCTCTATAATTCACCTAAGTCTCTACTTCATGCCATCAAATAGCGCTCACTCATTCAGAACAGACAATCTCGTTACAGTGTGAAATTTATCATAATATTTCTCCTGCTGTGAGTCACTCTGTGTTTCTGAGATGAAAATAATTTTAATTACGAGAATGAAGGACTTGAATGTATATTTATGAAAGAATATTGCAGTATTTATATGTAAGTATATCTACTAAGGACAAGCTTGAGGAAGGGAATATGAAATTGTATTATATATATAATACACACACATATATACATATAATTATGAAGTCAAAATTTTTTCGTAGAGAATATAATACACACATTGTATAATAAGACATAGTCCTAAAATACAGAAGTTATTAAAGAAGATATTTTGACAAGTATTTTCTAGTCTAATGGAAAGAGTACTCAATGACTAGTAATGACATACCTCGACAGTTACAACAGTTCCCCATTTAGTCTAATTCCAACACAATTATCCCTCCACACTTTATAACCATGTACATATGAGGAAACTCTGAGAGTGTACTGGCATTCAGATCTGAGGCATGCTTCTATCTAACTACATGGCAGCAGGGTGTCATGGAAATCGTATAGTGAGCACACAATACATTCTATGATATCCAACAGCTGCTATCTAGTCAAATGTGCTCATATACCCCACGACTACAGGGTGGGTTTTTTATCATTTTTTATTTTAATTTTAAATAGCTTGTTTTACATGTCAATCCCAGTTCCCTCTCCCTCCCCTCTTCCCGCACTCCCCTTCCCCTGCTCCCTCCCACCCTATTGCCAAATCCTTCCACATAGGGGATATCTAGAGTCTGTCATTTTACTCTTGGTAGGGTCAAGGCACTCCCCTAAGAGTCCAGGCTGAGAGAGCATCTCTCTTTGTGCTATAGGCTCATGAAGACAGTTTGTATACCAGGGATAGACACTGATCCACAGCTCAGGGTCCCATAGGTTGCCCAGGCCTTCTCACTGACACTCACATTTGGGGGGTCCAGATCAGTCCCATGCTGGCCTCCCCACTGTGGGTCTGGGGTCCAAGAGCACTCCCCTGTTCAGATCAGCTGTCTCTGCTGGTTTTGCCAGCCCATTCTTTGCCAATTTGCTCATCACTCCTCTCTGTCACTGGGTTCCTTGGGTTCAGTTCAGTGATTAGTTGTGTGTTTGCCTCTGCTTCCATCAGTCACAGGATGAAGGCTCCCGGATGGTTATAGACATCAAGTTTAGGTGGGTTTTTATACATACCAGTGTACTTTACTAAGAATGATCAACTCCAAAGAAAATACCTCCCCCACCCCACACAAAACTTGCCCTCAAGAAAATGGACATAAACAACAGAATTGCTCTGTAGTATCTGTTAAATGGCAGAAGAGTCACCTACATATGAGTGAATCCAGGGAGCATGAGGTTTGGTTATCTCACATAACCAAGAGTAGAGAAATTATTTTCACTCCTTACATTCACTGTTCATTTAAGAAGGCATAGGAGGGGCCAAGCTTAACAGAAATAGGAGGTCTTCCTACAGTGTTGAATGCACCAAAGCTGCCTGATGCCCCTCAGTGAGTGGTTGTCTGATCAGAGGACCACAATGAGAGGTAAACAAGGCTTGAATATTTTCTAGATAAGTTCAGATTCAAAGTCACTCAAAGCCAAGTTGTCACTCGATGGTTAGGATGAAAAGAAACTTCCTTTCAACGTGCCAAACCTGGATATGTTCTCATCATACACTGAGAAGTACAGCAGCCAGATGCATTGGTAATAAAATCAAGAGTGCCTGTACACACCACTTTCCAGGTGAATCCTCATTGTCTATCTGTACAGCCTTGATTTATTCTACCTAAGACAGGGTAATGACTACAAGAGTACTGAGAGTGCACCATACATGTCCATGCCTTCCTAACCAAACTCCTACCTTTTCAGAAAAGATCTCCATTCTAGTCTAGCCTGAAATCTACTCCACAGCAAACAATGACTTTGAACTCATGCTTCTCCTTCTTCAACTTCTCAATAGCAAGGATTAATAGTAGTTAACCCTCCTGGGTACATTTTAAACAGAACTAAGAAACTCTGGGTCCTGGACATGCTAAGCATGCACTGAGGTAACTGGACCTAAACCTCCAGTCCATATTAGCATACTTGCTTCCCTTAAAATACAATAGGCCAAAGTACTGAAAGTGCAGTTGCACTCCATATATAATGCTTTTAGAATGTTACCGAGCCTTATGTGGTTCACTGCTGAACATATGTATCTGAGTGATCATGCTGAAAATATGGGGACCAAACACCAATGAGAAGAAAACTACTGAAGCATAGTGTGTAACATATTTTTAGACGTATAGTCCTACTGGGTGTGGTAGGCAACTCCTGTTATAACAGTAGTCTGTAGGCAGAGGCAGGTGGAATTGTGTGAGTTCCAGGTCAGAAATGTATATACAGAGATAGTCCTGGGAGAGACACGGATACACAGTGAGACCCTGTCTCAAACAAGTAAGCCAGCAAGTAAACGAACAAACAAAAAACACCACAGCAAAACCCAAAACTAAAACTCAGTATTGTCCAGAAAGTCAGACAGCACAGATCAACATCCAGGTGGTGACTGGAGTTCTTAGTGAACACGGTGCCCAAATTGTGTTGCTTTTGGTGCCCATACCAATGTTGTTAAATGCCTTAAAGCTTTTCAGGTTTTACTGGAAGGAACCAACCAAGTCTAGCTCAAATCCAGTTCACAACCATCGAATGTCAATGGAGTGGTTAGCACACAGTCTCTGCCCTGCACCACATTGTGGGCTGTTTTCTTTCCTACTTGCTAACGTCTGCAGGCAGGTGAATTGCACTGTCCCAGCCTTCTGACCACTGTGGCAGAGGAGACAGTCTTGGGGTATTCCCATTGCTTTGATTTATTTCAGCCAGATGTTTGAAATCTGGATACCCTTTCGTGGAGATTATTGTCACCGCGATGGTGTTAAATGCAGTGGCCGTACTGCATGTGTAAAAGACTCTCATCCCATATTCTGAGCCTTGGTTTATTCACTTGTTTAGGAAAACACAAATCAAACTACTACATACGGCTGTGGTGAGCTTTAAACACACTATTTATAGGAAAATTGTGAATACCAATTTTTTTCTTAAGTTAAAAAAGTCTCCCGGAACAGGGACGGAGTCTGGGCAGGGTCCCCCATAGCTGACAAAGTGGCTCAAATCCTGGTTTTTTTTCTCAGCAGTTTCCGTGGGAATTGGGCTAGCAATATATATACCTGTCTAGATAAATTAAGTTAAGACACAGTCTGGCCCACAAAATCTCAAACTAAGAAGGTCAACACAGCATGCAGCAACTTTAGTCAGATGACTATGATTTCTTACTTGAGGATCACTTTTTTTTTAAATCAAACTCCCAACTGTAAATTGATGGATGTGTTTTTTCTTACTCTGGTGCACTAGACACAAGACAAACAGTATTCACACAATTCACATCTAAAACATGTCTTCAGTGACGCCAGAATACATACCAGGTTCGTATTGTGTAGGCTCCTCCTGCAATACACAGGAAAGAAAACAATGTGAGGCTTGAATTATGGTGGGTTCTGTTTGTACAACTTTTTGGCTCACCTGTTTCCCAGGCATATTACAGAAAGGACTGCCAAGCCCTTGGGTGGAAGATTCTGGATTACTATGTCACCTGATACTGACTCAGAATGGCTCAGTATGTCTGATTTGTGACAAAAACCAAAAACAAGCAAACTAATAAAAACTAGTATGTTTGCCACTTTTGCTGACTCGAGGCCATATCTGGCAACCCTGTGTGTTTGGACTCCACTGACGGTTCAGCTAAGCTACATTACACACGACAGAATAATTCACATCTGTTTACTATGATAGTAATCTCTCTTATGGAGCACTCCAATCATGTGCACACATCCCCATGTCTTAAAGTTCTCGGCACCCAGACATCCCCACACTGTCTTCTACCACATATGTCTTTAGGGAACACACCCAAATTCAACCTAAGCCAGAGGCTCTGGAAGTCATACAAGGAGGGGCTCCCCTTACATTAACATTGAAACCCACAAGGAAGATAAGCCCATCAAGTTCTGTGTGAAATTTGCATGCTTTTGTCTAAAGCAGAACATTATTTTCCCAAAGACACACCCCCAGTCATACTTGCTCCTGACATAAGCAAGTGTGAATGTTCTGTCCAGTCACAAATCTGGTATGATTCTGTTTTCCCTTCTTCCTACATATACTATTTCATGCTCATGGTAACCTCATCAAATTTATTTTTCAGTGTGATAGCCACTAAAACATAGGGAATAATCATTAAACTAACTTTTCTCTCTTACATAAAGCAAAGAAACCTTTTACCTCCAACAAGGTGTCTTGACTCTCTTCTTCAGAAGTTGAGGAATATGGAAAAATTTCGGGTTCAATAGGAACAACTAGACGAACAGGAAATAACTGTCAGCTCATGGTACATTATTCAGCCAAGCCATCTCTACTTGGCTTGGATAAAAGTGTCTGTAACCAGCACATGTCATTAGTTAGGTGACTACTGGACTGTCTTCCTGATGGCAAATGTAGGCAAAGATTTTAAAAATATAAAAACAGAGTTATTTTTTCTGCTTTCTAGAGAATGGGAACCCAAAGCAATGTGAGAATCAGTTTCTATATGTAACTACTGAGTGCATGTCTCAGAAACGTTTGTACATTTATTCAGTTGGGAGGGAGCACATCAGAGGACAATGTTTGGTGTCTAGTTCTCTCCTTTCAGTATGTGGGTTCTGGAGTTAGAATCAGAACACCAGGTCTGGTGATAAGCACTAATAACTACTGAACCATCTCCCTCTGTCAAGTCAAATAAATCTCACAATTAAATTACACATCACCATCAACTTCTGAGATCATTTTGAACCCTAGAAGAACTGACAATCATTCAGCATATCTCACAAGCATATTTCAACCTCCACCAACTGATACATTCTGCTTCTGCCTTCATCATAAAGAACATACAGTTTTAGCTTTGGTATCAAACATTTTACTGGGGAAGTGAGTTTAGTATAAGCCATATATATGATGTAACTGTATTTATCTATTCGCACTTTGACATAGAACAAGAATTTATTAAAGAGTGGAAAACAGTAATAATCATAAGCATGCTGTGTCTTGTTTCTCCTTCTAGTGTTTATTATTCTGTAAAGTTTTGTATTCATGTGTTTTGTGGGATCCAATTTAAAACCAGCAGTGACAAGGGAAAATGAGTTTCCGGATCCCTTTGACCACTCAAGTCCTTTAACGTAGCTCTACATGAGAGTTGCTTCAGGGGTGATGGATACTCTTAACCTATGTATCACTCTTTCTGGGTGTGTAGGTCAAATGTCTCTGCACTTCTAAGAGACACATTTGTATTGCTGTTAGACAAAGACCACATTCGTATTGGCATTAGATACCAATTAAAGATCTCTTTAGGCCAGGTGTGAAGGTGAATGTCCCAAATCTAAGAATCTGTGAGACTGGAACTTCCTTAGCATGATTCGTTTGAAATGTGGCACTGATGTAGCAATACCTGTCCTGGGCTAAGTGACCATGCATGGACTCTATGTCATAAAGTATGTAATGCTTAGGATTCTATAGACTTGCAGATATCCTGACATGTACACAACGATAGGACTTCTTGTTTGGTGAGTAAGGCAACATTTTAGAGACTCAGGATAGTGGGCAATATGTCTGGGCTCACATCGAGGCTTTTCCATCTAAGACCACATTCACCATTGTCTGTGTGTGTGTGTGTGTGTGTGTGTGTGTGTGTGTGTGTGTGTGTGTGTGTGTTAGTTATTCCACCCTGGAAATTCACATAGTCAATAAACAAAAACATGTATCTGGGCTGTTGTTAAGTGATTCAATGAAAGTAATCTAAGCACTGTCAACACTCAGAAAGGTTAGTAATTTTAAACTGTCCTGCTATCTACAGCCCCAAATTTTAAATGCCTAGGTCACTCTTCTTCTAATGATATATGATTGCTTTTCCTAAGAGCCTACATTTCAAACTTGACAACCTCCATTAAAAAGAAGTAAAGATTTTAAAATGATGCCTATGTTGTCCTAAGTATATAATCCATTTACATGCCTAAAAAAAAAAGACAAACATTGTTTTCCAGACTATTCTAGCTGCTTTACCATGGACAGTGAACAGTGAATCCCTGTTTAATGAAATGAACCCTAGATTCTTTGACAGATCAAAACTTCTAGTATTATAAGACCATTGAAAACCTAAAATCCTGCCCTATATGAAATGACAGAGTATACACACCCCCATGGAGGGCCTCACCCTCCCTGGGGAAATGATGGCATAATGGGGGTGGGGTTGCCGGGAGGGCAACGGAGGAGGGGACGTAAAGGGAGAGGGCCCTGGAACTGACTTGTGAAGCAACCTTGTTTCTCATCTAAATTTCTACTGAAAAATTAAAAAAAGAAATTAAAGACTTCCTGGAATTCAATGAGAATGAAGACACAATATACACAAACTTATAGGACACTTTGAAAGCAGTTCTGAGAGGAAAGTTCATAGCACTAAGTGCCCAAGTGAAGAAACTGGAGAAGAGTCACACTAGAGAATTAATAGCATAGCTAAAAACTCTAGGAGAAAAGAAGCAAACCCACCCAGAAGGAGAAGATGCCAGGAAATAATCAAATTGAAGGCTGAAATCAATAAAGTAGAAACCAGGAAAACATAGCAAAGAATGAATGAAACAAAGAGTTGGTTCTTTGAGAAAATCAGCAAGATAGACAACCCTTTATCCAAACTAACCAAAGGCAGAGAAAAAAAAAGAAAACCTAAAATCTTTTATAGCAGCTCTCCATAAAATGAGGGCATCTCTACATTTAGTTTTGATCAATTCATGAAGACAGCTATAGCTCAGCTTTCTGAAAGAGCTCTGAAAGCAGGTCAGGATAACTAAATCACATAACGTATGAAAACAGAAATAAGAGTTAACATGTCTTTTCAGAGCTGTGGTTCTATATACACAGAAACACAATTGCTCTTGCAAACAATTCTTTTCGTTCACCATATACACACCCTTTATATTTACTGATGACTCGAAATTGATATCAACTCTCTACTTAGTTCATCAGTCTCTATAATTCACCTCAGTCTCTACTTCATGAGCTCAAATAGCGATCACTCATTCAGGACAAAACAATCTCGTTACAGTGTGAAATTTATCATAATATTTCTCCTGCTGTGGGTCACTCTGTGTTTCTGAGATGAATAATTTCAATACAGAGAACCAAGTACTTACATGTATATTTATGAAAGAATATTGCAGTATTTATATATAGGTATATCTACTAAGGACAAACTTGAGGGAGTGAATATGAAATTGTATAATATATATAATACACACACATATATACATTAAATTATAAAGTCAATTTTTTCATAGAGAATATAATACACACATTATATAAGACATAGTCCTAAAATACAGAAGTTATTAAAGAAGATATTTTGACAAATATTAGCTAGTCTAATTGAAGGAGTACTCAATGACTAGTAATGACATACCTCGACAATTACAACAGTTCCCCATTTAGTCTAATTCCAACACAATTATAACTCTAACTCCACACTTTATAACCATGTACACATGAGGAAACTCTCTGAGTGTACTGACATTCAGACCTGAGGCATGACTATATCTAAGCACATATCAGCAGGGTGTCATAGAAGTCCCATAGTGAACTCATAATACAATACATTCTATGATATCCAACAGCTGCTATCTAGTCAAATATGCTCATATACCCCAAGACTACAGGTTGGGTTTTTATAAATGCCAGCGTACTTTACTAAGAACCATCAACTCTAAAGTAAATACCTCCTCCGCCCCACACAAACCTTGCCCTCACAAAAATGGACATAAACAACAGAATTGCTCTGTAGTATCTGTTAAATGGCAGAAGAGTCAGCTACATATGAGTGAATCCAGGGAGCATGAGGTTTGGTTATCTCACATAACCAAGGATAGAGAAAGTATTTATTTTCACTCCTTACATTCATTCACTGTTCATTTAAGAAGTCTTAGGAGGGGCCAAGATTAACAGAAATATGAGGTCTTCCTCCAGTGTTTTATGCATCAAACCTGAATGTAGCCTCTCAGTGAGTGGTTCTTGGATCAGAGGACCACATTAAGAGGTAAACAAGGCTTGAATATTTTCTGGAAAAGTTCAGGTTCAAAATCACTCAAAGCCAAGTTGTCATTCAATGGTTAGGATGAAAAGAAACTTTTGCTCAACGTGCCAAACCTGGATATGATCTCACTGTACACTGACAAGAACAGCAGCCAGATGCATTGGTAATGGAATAAAAAGTGTGTGTACACATCACTTTCCAGGTGAATCCTCATTGTCTATCTGTACAGCCTTGATTAATTCTACCTAAGACAGGGTAATGACTACACCATACATGGCCATGCCTTCCTCACCAAACTCCTACCTTCTCTACACTGTTATGTTTTTGCTTTTCAGAAAAGATCTCTGTAGTTTTTTTTTCAATTCTCGCTCTATGGGGAACCACCACCCAGATCCCAAATAAGGACTTATTCTTACTTATAAATGCAAAGCCTTTATTTGTGGAGTTTCAAGACAGGGTTTCTCTGCCTTGCTCTGGAGGCTGTCCTGTAACTTGCTCTGTAGACCAGGCTGGACTCAGCCTCCCCAGTACTGGGATTAAAGGCATGTGCTACAAATGCCTGCATGAAGCTGGGCAGTGGTGGTCCACGCTTTTAATCCTAGCACTCGGGAGGCAGAGGCAGGCGGATCTCTGTGAGTTCGAGGCCAGGTTGGACCAACAGCCTCCAAAACAATACAGAGAAACCCTGTCTCGTAAAACCAAACCAAAACAAAACAAATGCCTGCATCAATGCCCAGCCTTATCTTGGCTTCTAGCCAGCTTTTCTTAACTTTTATACCATGTACCTTTTGCATCTGTACTTTTATTCTTTCTATTCTATATACCTTCTTTTCCTTATTACTCCATGGCACGCTGTGTAGTTGGTTGACTGACCCATGGGTTTCATCTGTCCTCCTATTCTTGACCCTTGATCTCTCTTCCCAGATTTCTCCTCCAATTTATTCTTTCTACCTGACAGCCCCAGTTATTCTTTCTGTTGCATAATTATTGGCCATTCATCTCTTTATTTGTCCAATAAGGTGATTTAGAAAAGCAAAGCGACACAATTTTGCATCATTAAACAAATATTCCAGAGAATAACCAAGTGTAACACAACCCATACTTATGGGGAAGTGCTGTGTATATGTCACTAAAGCACTGTTGGCCAATAGAGAATCAAGATAGGTGGGACTAGGAGTCAAGGAGGACTCTGAGAAAGAGAGACAAAGGAAACATCATGTAGCCTCCATAGAAGTAAGAGGTCCAGAC